TGTTTTCAGGGGACAGCTCTAGGACAGAGAAGGCCACTCTGGGGAACCTCACACATGATCTGTAGAGAGCAATATTTTGATATTYCTGAAGTCAAACTGGGGCATGAAGCCACAAACCAAGATAGTCAGGGGAAAACCAGCCATTAAGATAGCCAAGGGGAAAGGTAGCAAGTTTTATTGTATTAGAGAGTGACAAATTTGTACTTTGGAGCTTGGATGGTGACAGWGGCTGGTTCTGTGCCTGGTGCAGCCTCCAGCCGGTCTTCAATCCCTCACTGCATTGCCAGGACCAGAGAGAAGGCAAATGCTGGATCAGGGGATGAAAGAACTCATGGAGATCACGGTGGGATAACTCAGATCTGTGTAAAGTTAATCAGGGTTAGTTGGACACGCACCTACCCAGCTGCACACCACGCACAGAGAAGGGCAGAGCTTTGCTCCTGGAGCCCAGCATTTCTCCCTGCAGCTGATGGGAACCAAGACAGACTGGAAAGGAATCAGTCAGAACTGGCATTTAGAGCAGGACATCATCCCCTCCCCAGATCTACCTTCATGCTCAAGCCTCTAAAATAAAGACTTTGCCCTTTTTTGTGCATGGAATGGACTCGAATTTTGGGGCTTTGCTCAGCCCCATGAGCCCAGGTGAAAGCTGAAAGTTGCTGTGCAGTAACAGCAATGCTGTTTGTTGACCACGTCCTCAGCCACTTTGCCAGGGCTGGAAGCACCAGTACCTCTTGTCATTTTATATCTGAAATTCAGTTCAAATGGAGCTAATTCTACCCATCGTGSCTTATCTGATTCATGATGTTTACTTTACAGATGAGCCAGCTTTCAGGTTGAGAGATGTGATGAGGCCAGTGACGGTGGCTTTGTGGTTATAGGTRTCAGGAGCTCTTGTTTTCACACTTCTTCAGAAAGAAGACAAAAAATTAACAGTTTAGATTGATATTTAAATAAGTGTTTAGGAGTCCATGATTGAAAATAGGCACTCAGTCACTGTTTTAGATCTAAACTTCAATGTAGGAAACAGAGAAATGACAGAAAAGTAAGTGTTAAGTGAAGGAGAGAACCAAAAACAAAGACCAGATAGAACTTGCTTCAGCTAAAATTAATAGAAAACTCGCACAGGCTGCAGTGGGTGTTCAGTGATATAAACACTGAGCCAATCCCACAAATGYAGATTCCTCTCCATATGCCCTAAAAGCCTTGTTTTGTAACTGGGTGCCACGATTTATTTTCAGGGGTGCTCAGCACCCTTTGTTGCTGCAGCCAGACTGTGCACAGCAGTCCCAGGGCCCATTTCAAARGCTGAACCTTTTCTCAGATGTCTGTAACCACCGTGCCAGGCTACAGCCACCTACACTGGAAAAGCTGAGTGCAGGCTGGRGCCCTGGAGAGCTGCCTGGGCGAGGGCAGTGCCAGCAGCGGGGCTGACGTGCTGGTTTGCACCAAGAAATGAGGGTTGTACCTATGGATCGCTTACTCTGACAGGGGTGGGGGTTTGAGTTCAATCATTTTCCCTTCCAAGGTACCATAAATGCAAATTTTACTCATCTACATTTCTCTTGCTGTCATATTCACTAGTGTTGATCCAGGTTATTTGCTTATGTGTCCATGTCTCTTATTCTCACAGTTGCTGCCTCTTATTCTCTTCCATATTTTTTGCATTCCCAGATGGCTCATTCTGCTTTTCAACCACCTTTTCCCCTCAACATTGTAGATGGTAGAAACAACAGAATAAAAATGGAGGGAGATCTGCAGCCCAGTGCTCAGGGAAGGACAACTCTCTGTTCCCTTCCCTCCTGAGAGTCAGGAAGAGGCAGATCTTGAGGTTAATTTCCTCTTCTGTCTTTGAAACTGTGTGTGATTTCAAAAAGCTGTCAGTCTGTGTCATGCAGTCTTTACTCAGGTGAAACACATGACTTTGCCCTTTGCTGTCACTTTTTGCCACTAAAGCTGGTGTAAGTAGGGGGGTGGTGAATTGTGCCTGATCCTGTTAACAGCTGGAATTCAGGTAACTGCATCTGTGCTGGATCATGGGAAGGACCACAGCCAGGGCTACAGCAGGATGTGAAACTTCTGATTTCTTGAAGCAAGCAAATTGTAAGTTTTATTAATTATTCAAGGGGGTTGAAATAATAGGATGAGGGAAAGCCTGTCTTCTACTTTGTTTTCAGACTTCTACTTCAGAAGATGGGCATTGCAGCAAAGGTAAGGCTTGGTGTGCTTTGCAGAACTCGTAACTTGCACTGGAAAAGTTTTCAGAGGATCCCAACCAAGACAGGCTGACCTTCTCTTGCTGTGAATTGCACCAGCAGGAAAACTCTGTTTGCCCACCCCAGAGCCAGRAGAACAAATTTATAGGCTGAATGTTCTTACTAGTCTGTCATTTTAGTTTTTGGGTTTGTTTGGATCCGTTTTCTTCACAGTCCTCAAGAGAGTTCCCTCTCCTTTTGCAGGTGGCACATGGACAAATCCCCACAAACCAGCCTGTTTCAAAGAACTGTCCTGTCTCTAACTATAAGATTTGTCTTGTCTCAGTGTCTTTCCAAAAAAGCACAGGAAGAGAAAGAAAACTATTAATAATCTTCTAGGCTGACCTTTATATTTTCTTGTTATATTGCATTCTCACGGGTGTGTTCATCAGAAGAACGAACTCTGGGTCCCAGAGGAAAAGGCATTACAGCAGTGGAGACAGAATGAGTCATGTGGGCATCTTGAGCCTGATGTGAGATGGATTAATTCCTGCAACAGGCAGCAACTGCTGCTGAACCTTGGGCTGACAGTGATGGGCAAAGTGAACTTCCCTGCCATGTCGTGACTTCATTTGTACACTTGCACTAATTGCTGTAACAGTTGCAGGAGATTTTGAAAGAGAAATTTGCATCAAGAAGACACCTAAATTGTGAGCAAGCACCGGGAGGAAWAATGGAGATTTCAGTGAGAACCACACGGGGTATTTGCTGAGGACAGGCTACAGCACARAGAGCTGGGTGGAAAGCTCCAACTCCAGCGTGCAGGATGTGTGGCCAGGCCCCAGAGAGCATTAGTCATCTCATAAGTGAGCGCTCAGAGCTGGCCGGAGATGAGTACAAAATACAGCATGACAAAGTTGGCAGTGCTGTGCACAGACCGTGCTGCCAGGGCAGGGGGTACAGCCACAGCCAACATCATCACCCCAGCCAGGTGAACTCAGACAACTGAGGAGGTGAATGAGAAGTTTGTTGTCAGAAGGCAGATGCGGTGCCTCCAGAGGAAGCTTCATCAGTAACTTCTCCACTGGGTGACGGCATTGGTAGAAAAAAAACAAGAAGTGACTGACAAACGCGTGTGGCAGGAAGCGAATTAAAAATGGGGCATGAAAATGGCACAGATCTTGGTGTCATGTCCTTCTTTCCAGTGGGCTCAGGCGCAGTGTCCAAGCTGGACACAGCTCCCTGTGGAGCAGCGCTCTCCCTGGCGCCGCAGCATCCTCACGATGGGATGCCGGCTCAGGTCCGACCTGGCAAAAGCCGGGGTGAAACGTTAAACCAGAGCTAGCCCCGGTGTTTTGGGGCGCTGGGAACATGAAGCGCTGACCCTCGGCTCCCCGGATCCCGGGGTCGGCGCTTTCCCGGGGGCGGCAGCGGAGCCCGGAGATCCCGGGGCGCTGCGGGACGCGACCCCCGCTCGGGGTGGGGGCAGGCGGGGGGCGCTGCGGCGGGCGCCGCTTTCCAGAGAATACGGTAAACATGTCCGCATCACGTGCGGCCGCTCCCGCCGCGGCGCGGGACCGGCCTGAGGGCGGGACGGAACGGGACGGGACCCGCGCTCCGCGCCGGCCGAGCGGGGCCGCTTTAAGAGGCCGCCGGGCGCCGCCGCCTCGCCCTGCCCGCCCCGGCGGAGAGCGATGCCCGCGGCGCCGTAGAGGGCGGGCGGCTCCGGCACCATGGGGCTGTGCTACAGCCTGCGCTCCCGCCTGGCCGCCGCGCACCCCTCCGCGCCCTACGGCAGCCGCGGCGAGCCGGACACCCCCGCGCCGGCGGAGCACGGGGACCCGCAGGTGCGGCACCGGCTGCGGCAGGACCTGGTGGCCAAGGAGAGGGCGGACAAGAAGCGGAGCAAGAGCATCGACAAGACGCTGAAGGCGGAGAAGCGCGAGTACAAGCAGACGCACCGGCTGCTGCTGCTGGGTGAGCGGGCGGTGCGGTGCGGTGCGGTGCGGTGCGGTTCGGCCCGGCAGGTGCGGGGCCCGAGGCCGCTG